AAAAAAATGTGAAATTTGCAGATCAAAAAAAAAAAAAGAAATCGATGATTTCTGATTCTGATTGCCGATTTCTTTAAGCAGTTTTTGCAGAAATAAAAGTTATTGATTCATAATTTTGTGGCATATTTTGATTTAGCATCTTTTGTAAGAATATATTTTGCATACTCTTTATGTTGTAAAGAATTTGATTGTCTAATATTAAATTTTATTTCTTTTCTGGTCCGATAAATTTACTATTGCTTGATAAGCAAGAAGAAAATATAAAAGCTGCACTAAATTCAATCTAATAAGAATTATTACATGATATTGCTAAGGAAGTTTAGTATAACTTTTTTTATTAGAATTACAATAAATTTTAGAAATTGACAAAAAAGACACTTTGTGCATCCAAAGCATGTTCCGGGATAATAATTTTAGTCATTAGAAATAATTTTTTTTAAAAAAATGTATGCTAAATAAATATATATATAACTTTATATAGTATAATATTAGTTGACATACATACGTAATGTTAAAGAAATCGGCAATCAGAAATCAAAAATCATCGATTTCTTTTTTTTTTTGATCCGCAAATTTCACATTTTTTTACAAACCGTTAGTTAATATATAAAGTGATTATTGGCATAATTTTAATTTGTAATTTCTGAATTATCATTACAATTAATTAAAGTTGTTGTTCCTACAAAGAGCGTCTCCGATCTCTCCCTCCAATTATGCCAATCTGACTTTCTTCAATTTTCAATGAATTTAGCGGCTTATTCATACAAAGCACGCCTACAATGACCACACCTCCAAGCGTGCCAAGATTATTGTTAGAAACGTTTATGGACGTTCTTATAAAAAGGCAGCGCCACAAAATCAGCCAGATCTTCGGGAGACAGTGTCGTGTTTTTGATAATAAGTTCTTCCAATAATCTAATCTTGATTTCATAATTATAAAGTCCTAGAGTTTTAATATTTTTGTTCTTAACAAGGGTTGTCATGATATTGTTGTGAACGAACCTGTTTATTTTTAGTGATTGGCAATTTCCTCCGGACATGTACAAAGCGCGCACCTAAGTGTCAGTAAAACACAAATTTTTGTTATTTTTGTTTAAAGATTTAAAAACTTCATTAAAAAAGATTTGGTGCGATTCTACTGACTCACCTATGTACGTACGAGTATGAGCTTCTTCCCTTAATCACATCACAAAAAATTCCATTGAAAAGTTATTTTTCCAACTGAAAAATAACTTAGGTCAATTTTTAATATTACAATAAACGCTCGTGAGTAGTGTTGGTATATATATATATATAAATTTACGTGTCTGTCATTACACAACATTGGGATACGAGATAGTATACTAGGAAAATGCGTAGATCCAGAGCATATCATATGATAACCATCTCATTACACAGACGCGTGAATATGCATGTTTTGTTACACTAAATTGACAAATTTGAACACGCGTGCGGATGGACAAAAATTTCCAACTTACGTTTCTGACATGATCTTCATAATATTTATGTAGATGCATCTAAAAGGTAAATATCGGTGGCTAAATGCATCAAAAACGTAATATTTGTATCACTTTACCTAATAATCCGCTACGCTCCGGATCAAATCGTTATAATTTACTTTTAATACAAACCTTGCTTATAGTTAACAATTTCTACCTAGTATGGTTAGTGTAATTTTCATGGTGCATAAAATCGAATTAACTAACAGTTCTAGCGCAATATACATATATATAATGAATTCTATTTTTTAAAGTACTATTTATATATGTGTAATAAACTTCTCTTTTTTATATCAGTTGATCAACACTTCGCATCAGAGAGAATCAAAATAAACTCTAGGATGAGTTGTATTATTGTATTTATATTGAGAATGGATGAAACATCAGGTATAGTAATCGTTATACGATGTCAACTGTAAATGATTAATGAATTTTCACCATATCGAACTTGGCCCCATCTATCTAGATATTTTGAAACACCGTTATAAAATTATTATGTCTATTATATACTTTTACTCCCTTCATCAAGTTTCCGATCCTGTATGCGTATCTTGATTGTGATCAATACTCTATTAACTTTCAGCTTTACAGAAATCTGTAAAAAATTGATAATTGTTTTCTTACAATGGGTTTATAACTAGCAATTATTTTGTTGTGATAATATTTTTCTGAAAAAATATATATTATAATTTATTATAATGCTATAATTACTAATTATAATGTTATAATAATGTTTTTATAATTATTATTTAACAACTACTGTAGTTATGAACTAGTAATTATAGAACTATAATAATGTTATAATAATGTTTTTTTAGAAAAATATTATCACAAAATAATAATTAACCCATTTTTAGAAACAAAATTTCAAACAATTATCAATTTTTTACAGATTTCTGTAAAGAGGGTTGTAAAATTCATTAATCGATTTGCGGTTTCTAGCCCTATAACCACGTAGTCACATGTCACAATTCTGACTGTTTAATCAAATTATAAATCTTCATAGTTTTATCTAAATCATGGTTTGTAGGATTATGAGCAGAGGTCTTTTTCGATTTTTAACAGCTGCCTAGTGCATTGGGGGTGCGTCAAGTATAACCCAGGTTTGCATTAGGAGAGCATCTTTCTGCGTTGCGAATACAAAAGCAAAATTTCCTATTATATAATCTAATAGAAAATTTTACTTTTGTATCGCAACGCAGGAAGATGCTCTCCTGATGCAAACATGGGTTATACTTGACGCACCCCCAATGCACTAGGCAGCTGTTAAAAATCGAAAAAGACCTCTGCTCAAGCACCCACCTCAATGAAATCAATAAAAATCTGATTGGCTAGTTTGATTAAACTGACCATTCAGATTCGTTATTGAGTCCATTGAGGTAGGTGCTTGAGCTTTGATCTGCACGTGTTTAAATTGCATTAACTCAACATGTTTAATTAAATCTATATGCTTTTACTTAATTTGTGATTTATTTAAATTATTAATAACGATGAGTCGAAAAACTTTATTGAGTTCTTATAACATTAATTTTCTTATGTGCTTTTTACTAACTGCTTTTGACAATTACATGCATTTTTTTTAAATGTTTATACTATAATTATTATTAGATCAAAATCAAAATCGTTAAAACTTTTTACAATTGTTTGCTTTATAAAATTTATATTATATGTTTTTAAAAAGATAAACTTTAATATACCGTATTTCGCAGCCCCCCTTTGTGCAATTTTAAATTTTACAGCTTTATACGGCGGCGTTATATTATATTTGTGCAGATTTTGTACTTATTTAATAGTACTACTTATGCTAACACCATATTGATAACAATAAATGACTATTAATACTAAAAATATCTAGATAAAAGCTGGTAAATATTTTACAGGGGAGGGTGGTTTAGCCCGCGAAATACAGCAATAACGTATATTTTTATATATCATATTGAGTTTATTAATAAGCGAATGATATACTGTAATATAATTCGAAACTAGTATTTTTAATAAAGATGATATTAAATTGATAAATAACTAATTATTGTAAAATTTGATGTTAATATATCTTACAAATTTAAAAACATTTAGTAAAGTAGTAGAATTTTTATAAATTAATTTTTTTATCACTTAAAATTATTAAATACTGGCATTTAACCCGTTGTGTTGCTCCGGATTCAAAATATAAAAAAAATTGGGTTAATTTAAAATTATTATAAAATATATATAGTAAATACTAATTTTAATGTACCGTTGACCACTGTATACCCCATGATTAAAACCCGGGTATTATCTCTACCATCCTATTTCTTGAATAAGACCCGTGGTACGCCTATATTGTTTATCACACAGTATCCACGGGTACTATTCAATTTTAAAAATGGAGTTCTTGAATAATACAGCTAGCGATGGAAATTTCTAATTATTGATTATGAATTAAAAATTAAAATTTAATTAAGAAGTTAACAAGCTAATTATAAATGAATTATCCAATATGCATAGAACTTCTTCGTAGAAAATGATCTAATCAATAGTTTTTTTAAAATTTGTCGATTTTTTATAAAATCATTGATCACATCAATTAAAAGCTGCTATGGAAGATTCTATCGCTAACATATTTTTACAGGAATTATTATTGATTGATTTTTATCGCTGCGTACAAAATCATTTTATATTAGAGTATATAAAAAATATGGGTTGATTCGCTGATTATATATGAGTGCTACCAAGGGAAAAAGACCGATTGGACTTTTAATATATTTTGTGTACAGTACACAAAATATATTGAAAGTCCGATCGGCCTTTTTCCCTTGGCAGTCTATCGATATTTTCTATGCATCATTTATTAATTGTTAAAAATGATTTATTAACAATTTCATGTTAACAATTAACAATTAGAAATTCCCATCGCCACGTATGTGTAACACTATTGCAAATTATATAATGATCTACAAAATCTTTAATTAACTGAAGCGGAGTGAATTTTTGATGATCGACAGGCGATCGACCAATCAAATCGTAAAATTTTTGCGAAACAAAACATGCGAAAAAATGCTTAAATGGAAGCCATTTAAGGTTCGGACTTATCACGGATCAATCCGACAATGGGTATTTTCGGAGCAAATGTTTGTTTTATCAATCAACCAATCAAAACCCTTAATTTGCGGACACACACAACCAGGTCACTATGACTGTCCTTCGGACAATAAACGTTAAATTAGATGAATTTTCAAAATTCACTTCGACCTCCTGATTTGTAGCACCCTACCGTGGTGTGTGCAATATTGGAAATCTGAATTGGTTTTAGTGTTTTCAAGCAATTTTTTTCTATATTTTTTAATAAAAAGTTAGAAAAATGATGTTCCCAGAGAACATTGAGAACATCAGATTTCCATGTGCGCATCTACCAGCTACTATCGGAAAAGGTTCAGAATGTAGACAGTCAGCGGGAAATTTCAGGATTGGTTTTTTTAAGTCGACTTACCTGATTTTCACCCAGTGATATATAGTCCACCTGTAGTTCACCCATCGGGTGATTAGTGCTCGAAAATCAAGTTTTTGAATCTATCGATTTATAGTATTATGCTTTAATTACAAAATCTATTTTTACTCTAACCTGACTTTGAACTTCATGATAAGTTACCATGAAGTCTAAAGTAAGATGCCTGTTAATTTATATATTTACTAAAAATAAAATTTGTATTTAATGCCCAATACTATAAATTGATAGATTCAAAAACTAGATTTTCAAGTTTTTGTTTGATTTTGCCATGCATTATGGGTGACCCTTTTTAAGTGACCCGGTTTCCGCCCGGTGACATATGGTCCACCTCGGTGGAGATTTTTTAGACGGGTCCAAACCAGAGTTGGCGCCGAACCCCTTTTTGCCAAATCTGAAAGTTTCTGGTTTCGGACTATAGCTTCGGAAAACTTATCCGAAACTCGAAACCTACCTGAAACCTGACACCTCATCCGAAACCTGAAACTACCCAAGCTTCCATATACATTGATTGCAATGATGTATTATATATCTCTTTCAATTATACATCAAATGCACTGATCTATGCTATATATCTCTTCAATATACATCAATAACACTGATGTATGTAATATATCTCTTTAAAGAATTCAATAAAGTTTGAATATCAAGTGTTATTTGGGCTAGAATGCATATTGCACGCGAGCAGTTCTTTTCATTATTATAATCACAAGTACAACATGAAAGACATAATTCCGGAGTTTATATCCCGATAATCAAGGTAGCTTTGCAAGTATCAGTTTTTTTACTTACTACGTAAAAATTTGATGCAATATTAAGTAATAATAAGTAATAGTACGTCATATCTACTAATGACCGAATTGATAAGTTACCACAGAATTAAATAAATTGTCGACATCAACATTCATCAAAATACTTATCGATTCGTTCATTGGCAATTTTTTCTATTGTCCTAGAATTTTGAAATCAGTTGTAATGACGGTATGATATTAAAAATAAA